GGGGATCGAACTCAGGTGGAAGTGAAAAGTGTGCTGCACTTTAACCCGCTGCGCCACCAGGGAGGGCCTGAATTCTTTTTTAATTTCATTAAATTTCAGAAAATATGCAGCAGTTTTGGAAAGAAAATACTGCTTAGCCAATAAAACTATGTAAAGTGTCCCTATTTGAAAATATGAATTAAAAGATTTTTAATTTCAATGGCGGGGAGGGGGAGTCTCCTTCGGTTGGATACAACTCAGAGGGAATTTAATTTGTGTTCAAAACCAACAACTTTTCCATCCAAACCACTCCTATTTTAATTACTCCACCACCAAAAACCTAGCCTGTGTTGAGAATTTACCATGTTACACTCAAAGTAATTTTCTGTTTACTGTAATGAGTTTATGGAGGTAACATGGATTTTCAACACCGTGTATGTTTCAGGAGTACAGGTTCACACCTCTGCAGAAGCATGGTCTCTCGCTCACAATGCCCATCACCAAAGCCATCATCCTTCACCACAGACAGTCTGTTGAGCGCTCTCACCTTTGATCCCATCCCTCCTACCCCATCCTTTCGGGTAGCCTCAGTTTTGCTGTTAGATTTCAAGAACTTGTTTTGGTCTGTTTTATGTCTGCCCCTTTGCCTTGTACTTTTGTATATTCTGTATATGTACACGCAAGGTAATTAACAGACAGCCCTTTTAATGGGGCCCAGGGTCTGCAGTGTCATCCCGATGGCTTCCTGGTATCCCACTTCAGGGGAGTATCATCCTTATTTCTCAAACTAACTGGCAATGGCTTGGTGCATGGTGTTCACCTCTAGAACGACTTCCATCCCTGCTCCCAGAATTCCCAGTAGAAATTCTGGTTTAGGCTCAGTCCGGAAGTAACTATGAAGGAAACTTCCACTCCAGTATAGCCTCTCAAGTCTGAGAGCCAGCATCAAGGGACCAGCCCCAGCCCAAAATTCTCACCACCTCATCCCAATCACCGTTCTACTGAACTTACCATGACCTCCTCTGAGGGACTTGCCGTGTCCCAGTGTGCCACAAAGCCAGCACTCAGAGCACTCACACATGACAGCTCCTCTCTTCCTCACAGATTCCGTCACTACAACCATCCTATATATTTCCATTGATGCTTTCTCCCTCCCTCCTGCCTCTTAACCTCAAAGATCTCACTTCATTTATGATCAACCAGTAGTTTACATATTTTACTTTGGCAAGTCACCTACTAGGTAGGTAACTGTCCAAAAGTTGGCTTTGTCATTGTGACTTGCTTTATTACCTGGAATTCCCCCTCCTAACTCCCTTTTAACTTTCCACTTCTTTAGACCATAGATTGTGTGCTGTCATTTTCCTCAGCTGGTACCAATCTTTCAACTTTCAAATTCTGTGGGGAGTGCTTTGACCTCCTGTTCTCACCACTCCTGTGAGGCCATGAAGCTTACCAAAGAGCTTCTAGATGTTCACTTAGTATTTGGGGAGTAAGAGAGACAGCATAAAGGCTGTCTACATGATTATTATTTAATTTAAGTATAATCTAATAACATCCAAATATCTTTAACTCCATACACGTACACTAAAAGAATAAATTGTACCCAAAATTTGCCAAAAATTTCCTTTTTTCTTTACTTGGTCCTAATTATTTCTCACAGGGGTCGTTCATCTTTCCATAAAAAGTCCCTGTCCCATGCCCATGGCATTTTGTTCTGTTTCATGGAAGAAGGATGGACAGATTACAAATCTGTTTCATAAAATATCAAAACTCTAATTCATACTTAAGAAACACTGGGTCTTCAAAATGGTAGTGAAGAGATGATTGTTACAAACAAAAACAAATAACACTCTACTGTCAGACTTTATTATGAAATCAATGGATAGCTGAACAGCAGTGGGATAGGGCAAAATCACATAAATTTAAAATCTAACTCAAAGTATTTTAACTTTTACTAAAAGGAGTAAGGAAAACCATGAGTTACAGATATTTTATTTTTTTTTAAATATTTCTCTAATTTGTGATACCAAATATTTTAGATGTTGTGCGTTCACTTTTTCACGAAAGCTCTATGGCAATGCCGTGTTATCTATTTCTGAACAATAAATATGGTTCATGGATTTCTCTTAAGCACAGAAAAACTGTAACATTCAAACTTTAAAAAGCCATAACTATCAGAGCCATGTACTTAAAAATTTGCATTCCAAAGGAAACACTTTCTATAAGAACATTTGAAAAATAGCTACCTAAATAATATGTTAAATAAATAGCAATGAACATGTGAGAAAATAACCGAATTAAAACAGTAAGACAAAAGAAAGGTTTTCACTTTGTCTCCATAGCCCCACCTTGCCTCTCCACTATTTAGACACCTAGAGCTCTCTTCATACAGGAGGTGGAGAAGCAGACCCAGGCTCCCTAGGTGTGGGGGGAGCTGGGTGGCTTGGCCCCCGAGGGCACGCGGGCCTGGCCACCAGAGCGAGCCCTGGCCAGGCATCGCAGTGATGCCCTCTCCACCTCATCACACAGAGCCTCCTCGTACAGCCCGGGGAAGGCACTCGGGGTGGTGTGGCTGATCTTGGCCAGCACGCTCAGAACCTTCATTTTGGTGGTTTCCGCGTGGGCCCGCGGCCCCCACAGGAACTCGTAAGTGGGGGGATCACTGCCGGCCACCTGGCGGTACTCCAGGTACTTGGCCTGCACCAGATCTTGGGTGATGAATTTGCGGGGCTCCCCAAAAATTAAGTGCCTCCTGCCAGCATGCACCCCCAAGACATTGAGGAATTCCCACACCTCCTCCTCCGAGGCCCGGTTGCCCTTCATGAAGATCACACCCAGCAGCGCCATCAGGAAGCCGGTCTTGGGCATGCCCACACCACCGGACAGATCCTCTTCGCTGGAGAGCCCCAGCTTGTTGACCAGGATATAGGTGGGGTTGCTGCGGTTGACTTCCTTCAACTCCAGCCCGAACACCAGCTCCATGCGATCACAGGCTCTTCTGAGGATCTCGGCGAAGTGCGGCTTGTACTTCTTGTTGACCACCTTCAGCAAGGCGACCTGGGTGACGGGCTCCTGCGATCTGTACTTCTCCAGCAGGAACTGCACCAGCTTGCTGGCCTTGCGGGTGAGGGGATCCTTGCCATAGGTATCCATGGTGGCTGTCACCTGGGAGACATTGCTACTGGCCCCCTCGGGGCTCCTGACCCTTTCCCTGGACATGAGGCAGGGGACCCTTACATGGTGACAGCCACAGGCCAGGGCCC